GAACCGAACCGAATCGGATCATATCCAGGCCTACTAAAATAAATTCATATCCCTATATTTCATTAGGGACATGTTCGGTACAATTTAAAATTTAATTAAAATTGAAAATATGATCGTTATTGGGTCCCACTCGTCTAATAAAAGTCAACAATAACGACTAATTTTTCAATTTTAATCTCTACCGAACACGCCCTAGATTTACCATTTAATCCATGTTTGGTTGATGGGTTAGCCCAATAGCNTTGAAATTATAGTCGTTATTGGGTTCCACTCGTCTAATAAAAGTCAACAATAACGATTAGTTTTTCAATTTTAATCTCTACCGAACACGCCCTAGATTTACCATTTAATCCATGTTTGGTTGATGGGTTAGCCCAATAGCTCCATCCTCGGCCCATCTTCATATTTCCCCTTCCCGCCACCCAAAATGTCTAGGGCAAATTCCTTTCCAGTTTGATCCAGAAATCAAATTCCAATTACCCTCTTACAAGGAAAAACGGAGAAGTGAATACAATGCCCACGCTATCTTGGAGACACCATACCCTCATTCAGTCGCTTCTCTCACGTGGACCGCTCAAGGAAGATGATTTCCACTCCATCTTCTCCCATGTCACCGGAAAATCCCCAGGTTCAGTAAATTTCGTGCTTTTTTGGGTTTTCAAGGCACAATTGCTGCAGCATAATGTCCGACACCGTTTGTTATACCTATTTTGAATTTTAGTTTTTTTTTAGTTTTTGATTCTTTGGGTAATTTAAGTTGGCCAGAATTGGTCATGAATCGAGCCGTATTTGTCGAATTTTAAAGTTAAATTAGGGAAAATTGCTGAAAAATTATTCTTTTTCTAATCCTCTTTAAGGAAGAATTGATTACTGCTTTCATGACATGATGCATAATCTTGTCTTCCAGGTGCACACCTGCAGCTATTTAATGAATATCTTCGAAATATAAACGTGGAGCTAGGATATGTTCAGTTTGAGTTGCGCGCATGCAGAAATCAATATGATGGCAACGTGTATTATGGGTTGGTTAATAATATTTCAGATGACCAGTCCAAGCTTGGGACGAAATATACTGTTCCTCAGATTGCTTTCTACAAGGGCATTGTAAGTTTCTATGTTTTTGTTTGCTCACATTTCTTTATTTTGTGAATTCATGAGGTTGGAAGGCACAGCCTGCGCTAGTGTTATTCGCAGGGACGGATCCAAGATTGGATCCAAGACAGGGCTACAAAATTTCAAATCAGGCTAATACTCGAAAAAAAAAATTTACACATGAAAAACTGTTTTTAAGGAAAAAAAAAAAGAAAAAAACCTTACAAAAAAATTTTTTTTTGGGGCCTTTGGGGGGACTACAGCCCAGCCCCCCCACTATATCCGTCCCTGGTTATTCGCCAACCAAGCTATCTGTCTTAGTCATATAAGAGTGTACATTATATTAGGAAAAATGATGGATTGAATTCTGCTAATTTATCACTCACGAGAAGAAAAAATCTTATGTTAATTTGCTTACCAAGCTGTTTTGAGTTGAAGGAAAGTCCAATTAAGAAATTCCCAATGAAAATAATTTACAGGGATAAGCAAGGCTCTTCTTTGCTTTCTCTTGCTGTCTCTCATTCTCTGTGTGGGCTTTAAACGAGAGGCATATATTTTATTTTCTTATTCAGATTTTCTAAATGGCTGAAATTAGCTCCACAATCTTTCCCTTTCTTTCCCTATTTAAGTCCTTTCTCTGTAGCTAGAAAAAAGCTGCTGACTTTAGCATGTTACTTGTCTTCCGTGTAAATTGGTATTTTTTCCAACTCAAATTTGTCATCAAAACTAAGGAAGTAGAAGTAGAAGTGAAAGATTGTTTCTATCCTCAGTTTGAATTACCACAAATCTTCTTGCTTTTATTGCATTGTAATCATGTGAATCCCTTGCATATTAGGCTGATAGTCAGGAAAGTTGCTTTTGATTTTTTGCATTAAATCAGGTCTGTTATCTGCAGTTCTCACTCTGTAATCCCTTATAATTGATTAAAATTTTCTGCACGTCGGTATCTTTTGTTGGTGCATGCTAATAATTCACATAGTGTTGAATGAGATTCTGCTTTTCCTTTTTTCTTTTTATGTTAATTAATTCTGCATATCTCTATTAGGTAGAAGTCATTATTCAAGATGTGGAGGCCCAGGGCAGCATTTCCAATATCCAAGCTCTAAATATACGTATGGAGAATCAGGTTTCTTGACTCATTTGTTACTTTTTTTTTT